GGAAATAATTTCGCTAATGCAGCAGCCTTTTTATTCTTTATCCTGAAATTGTTTCAATGTTCTTCACACACCCATGTAAATATGCATCATATTCATTATGAAATTATTTCAAGACGCACCGGTTTCATCATGAATCCATTTTAGCATGTAATTATTTCATGACAAACCGCATACATTATGCACACGTTTCATTTTGCATTTCACCTACTAAATAGATCAACTACACCATCACTGAAACGGAGTTCACCATCAAACCAGTTCACTAATCATTGTTCAATTACGCCATGAACTAGTTTCATCTTCATGAAATTTGTTTCATGTACATAGATTAGTTTATTTCGCTCCTGATTTGATGAATTCATTCATTTAATCCTTACAATCTTAAGGATTCTGTAGCAGATTACAATCTTCAAGATTATGGAGCAGATTCATCATGTACTCATTTCATCATGCAATTATTTCATGACGAACCAAATACATTATGCACCCGTTTCACTACTCTTGGTTCAATTACGCCATTAACCAGTTTTACCTTCATGAAACCTATTTCATATACATTAATTTTCTTATTTCACCCGTGATTTGATGAATTCATTCATTTAAGCCTTACAATCTTCAAGATTCTGGAGCAGATTATAATCTTCAAGATTCTGTAACAGATTCATCATGCAGTTATTTCATGACGAACCAAATACATTATGCACCCGTTTCGTTTTCCACTTCACCTACTAAAATGGATCAACTACACCATCAATAAAACGGGTTCACCATGAAAATGTTTCACTACTCATTGTTCAATTATGACATGAACCAATTTCATTTTCATGAAACTTGTTTCATTTGTATTAATTTCTTTTTTCAATCATGATTTGATGAATTTATTACATTATGTCTTACAATCTTCAAGATTCACCAGCAGATTTAATCGCATCACAATATATTTAGTTCAATTTTTTAAAATTATAATATAATTAAATATTTGAATGTTACCATTTATAAAAAAAAATTATTACGTTTACTTAATTAAGATTTATTAATAATTTTCATATTTAATTGAAAATATTGTAAATGACCGAAATACTCTTATTGATTAAATTTAATTAGAAAAAATAGAATTTTCCTAGTGGTCGAAATTAGTTTACACGGTTTCTCAGAAATGCAATGTTTTCATTTGAACGTGCCCATATATATATATATATATATATATATATATATGTGTGTGTGTGTGTGTGTGTGTGTAGGTTCAGACGAGAACATCTTCATTTTATGAGAACGCGAGTACTTCCTTATCACATGTGATAATACGCGTGAGGGGACTCTATGATGTGCGGACAACGTGTTCTACGATTTAGGCCGCACCAAAGGTTGTCTGCGTCTATGATTTAGCATCACATGTGATGGTCTTGATGGATTGTAGCATCATATCAACAACCATCTTATCACATGTGATAATAATTGTGAAGATGCTTAATAGTGTAAGAGCGACTTCGCCCGCAACCAAGATCGCATCGAAAATCGTCTGCGTCTCTGATTTAGTATCACATGTGCATCATATGTGATTAAATAATAGTAGCGCATGTGATTGTCTATAGTAAAAGAATGTTCTCTTGTTCTTGTAAAATGAAGGTGTTCTCGTTTGAACCTTTCCCTATATCTATACTATATTATAAAACATTTGACAAAATCTCTTAAAAACCATTTTTTATACATGAAGTATTGTTTATTGATGCATATTACTTAAAATTCAAGATTACAAGTAAATAATGCATAAGTACAACTTATTAAAGCTCTATACTTAAATTCGTGTAACTAACTACAGATAAATACAATCAAATACTAGATAAACATTTCATTTTAAATATAAAAAATC